ACAACAACATCATCATTATTATTCTCAGAGTTACTCAGGCAGCCATGCTGGAGTCCACAAGTCTTAAAGGGTTTTTTTTTAGTGCACTGAAACTTTTCCTCTGAAGTTCTGGTTTTGGCTTCTAGACAGCTGCCCCTCCCTTGGGGAAAATCTTCCACTTTACTGGTTTGGTAGGAGGAAACGGTGGTTAAACCACACCGCCTCACTTTTCACATGGGCCTTTAGCAGCAACCAGAAGTTGGCCAGGAAACAGAGCTGGGTTATTTTTATGACATCTCTAACGGAGCCATCCTACTGAATCCCACTGAGTCGGGCAGCACTCCCAAAACAAGACCCTTCGGGAACTTAGCAACAGGCTGAGTTGCCCGCGTTTCATTTTATACCTAAGAAGGGAAAAAAATGGGATTCGAGAGAGAGAAAAAAATTCATAATGTGTTTTATTTTTATTATTTTGACCCAGGGGCTTCACTGGACCGTCTTAAAAAGTGCTCAAACAGCCCGAGGCTGATAGCTTGGATTTTATTTTATTCTTATTTTAGCACCCATTATAAGAATGCCCTTGTGGTCCATAGGTGGATGGACAAGTTAATAGTTCCTGTACATTTGTACACCTCTAGGAATGGATTATGCAACTGACATCTTTTTTAAAAAAAAATTGGGGAGGGCCACAGTATTTTACCAGGGCAAACAGCTCTTTAGGCAAGATGACCGAAGATCTTCCAAAAGGCAAAATAAGTCTGTGCGAGGAGGAGGGGGAGGAGGAGGAGGAGGAGGAGGAGGAGGAGGAGGAGGTGGTGGTGGTGGTTCTCATTGCAATGGCTTTTGGGGACTTGTATAAAAGACAATTTGCTCTAAAATGAAGGATTGGAGTAAAAGGCTTGATAAATTGGGACATTGCCTCAAATAATCCACGGCTTTAAATGCAGAGATTTATAAAACATTGACGATGGCTGCTGGCCTTCATATTGTCAAGTATGTCTCAAAGGTGCTTTTTCAGAAGGCAACTGGACTTTGTTTTTCCTTGAAGATGTTTCGCCTTTCATCCAAGAAGATTCTTCAGTTCTGACTGAAAGGTGGAAGATAGAAGGATTGGCTTGAAAGAGGGGCCAAAGAGGCCATCTACTGTACATTAAGACTGAACAGCCCTCTCTCAACAGAGAGGGTGGGATATGACACCACTTATCTCCTGTTTTACAACATAGTCCTTTCAGCTGTTCCAAGAAGGTCCCACACACGTTTGACCTATTCAGATGACCCTGAAGGCACAGATAAACCTCCAAGTGGCCTCAACAACTCTGAGAAAGAGTGCTAAGGAGCAGATGCCTGAAAGGAATATAAATCTTTTTATCCTCCTCAATTCCACCAGTTAGTCAAAATGAAGAAGCTTTTTAGATGAAGATGAAGATGTTTCATGGGGAACATCTTCAAAGAAAAGACAAAGTCCAGTTGCCTTTTGAAAAAGTACCTTTGGGACAACCATGACCTGGATGACTGAGAACCTCCACAGACGTATCCTCCAGTAGGCAAAAGTTTTGAGTAACCACCAAAGATCAATCAAAACCTTGAGGAGATGCAGGCCAGTAGCCTGGTCAATTTTTCTTTGACTTTGCTTGTCAGAAGTTCACAAGAGGTGATCACGTGACCCCAGGACACTGCAACCGTCATAAATAAATATAAGCCAGTTGCCAAGCATGCAAATGTTGATGATGCGACTTGGGGATGCTGCAGGTGTGAAAATTGTCCGTAAGTCCCTTTTTTCAACGCCATTGTAACTGAACGATCATTGAACAAATGTTGTAAGTTAAGGACTACCTGCACAAGCTTTGAACATTGCAGTAATTCCATCCAGTTCATTTCCTGTTTTGTGATTGCTGCTTTTTTTTCCTTTTTGCAGTGTCTTCCATGTGACAAGAGGTCACCATATGCAAATGTAAGTAAGAGGCCGACGTCCCTCCCATTCTGAGATTCCGGCGTACTTTTGATGAAGGGCAGTGACCGATCCCTTGGGCGTTAGCTAGAACCGCCCCTGAATTGAAGTTGTAATTTCAATAAGCAATGTTTGGCTTTTGAACTCTCAGTGGTCCTTCCCTTAGAGATAGTCCTCAACTACTACCAAGCTCCAGCATCCTCACTCGGCATGGTCATCGTCCAGGCTAGCTGGGGATTCTGCAAGTTGGGACCTTAAAGCAGTGTTTCTCAACCTTGGCAACTTGAAGATGAGTTGCCTCTCAGAATTCCCCAGTCAGAATGCTGGCTGAGGAATTCCGGGAGTTGAAGTCCATCCATTTTAAAGTTGCCAAAGTTTAGAAACATCACTGTAGAGAGTAGAGAAGCTGTGATCCCAAAGAATCACTTAGCGGAAATTCTTGATGGGACAGGGCAGACGATAGATGAGGTCTCAAGAAGGCAGAGGAAGCAGGTAGATAACAGAATAACAGAATTGGAAGGGATCTTGGAGGTCTTCTAGTCCAACTCCCTGTTCAAGCAGTTGACCCTATACTAGGGGTAGGCAACCTTGGTTGAAGTCCATGAGTCATAAAAGAGCCAAGGTTGCCCACCCCTATCTGAGGCTAATTCAGACAACCGGTAAGTGGAAGGCACTCTTGGTTTTGTGGCTGAGGCCACAGAATATATAGAACAGCTGTTAACTGTCCCAACTAGGGTTAAATTCAAATCATGGCCTACAGAACTTGGGGAGAGATGCTGATTGCAGTGCCAGGAAAGTGACTGGAAGAGTAAGAAATAATGAAGGTTGGGGGAGAGTCGAGCATCTTGGAACATAGGCAGAGTGCTTTTCCTTCATGATTGAATAACCTTAGCTAATCTTCATGAGATTAGACTCTCCATAGATAACGAAGACAGTAAGGCTTTCTGAGTCAGAAGCCCTTAATGTTGACAAGGCTTTCTTCCTGGCAAGTCTACTGTAGGAGTGGACCATTTTGGATTGCTCCAAGGAATTCTTATTATTTTTGGACCGCTGGGCCTCCAGAAGATGGATGGGTAATGAAATGGGTATTCTGGGATTTTCATTTAACCTATGTTAGGGCTCGCAGCACAAAATGTTAATGCTCCTCGTCTCAAAAAAAAAAAAAAAGCAGGATGATTGGCCACTGACTTTCAGCCACTCTGCTCAGCAGCTGTTCCAAGGTCCTGTCATTGCTTGTAGTCCACTCCTTCAAGGAAGTCTTCTCCTGCTTAATGTGTTTGCTTCAGGGTGGAGCTTAAAGGAAGACACGGGACCAAAGGAAGAATGGAAACTCTAGGGAAAAAGCAGGGAAAACAAACCCAAGCTTTAAAATAACTTGGGGTGGGGTTGGTAGGGGAAGGGGGAAATGACCAATTACTAGTGCAATGCAATTCCAGAACAGATGTTCTCTGACCATTAAGGGACATTAGCCAGCCATTCACATATTCACAGAGTCAACGGGGGTCATTTATGCCATCCAGTGAAACCGACTGCTCCGTACAGAAATCCAAATTAAAGGTTTTCGACAGATGGCTGCCCAGCCTTAGCTTAAATACATTCCGTGAAGGAGAGTCCAACGCCTCCGTTAGTGCTTCATTTCAAACGGTTTTTTACTAGTAGAAAGTTTTTGTCTATTGCGGAATCAGAACCTCCCTACACAATTACGCCATGTCCTGCGTTCGGACGTAGAACAACCCCAGTGATTATTCTTGCGACATTTTTTTCCCCAAGAATTTCATAGTGTCATGGGGCTTTGAAGGTCTTCTAGTCCAATCCCCTGTCTAAGGCAGGAGATCTTATGCCATCCTTGATTGTCCAATCTTTTCTTGAAAATCTCCAGCAATGGAGCAGCCACAACTCCAGGAAGCAAGCTGTTCCCTTGACCAATTGTTCTCAGTGTCAGGTAACTCCTCTCCAGGTTGGATCTCTCTCTACTGACCTTCCACCCTTTGCTTCTTGTTCTGCCCTCAGGTGCATTGGAGAATATGTCAACCTCCTCTTCCCTGTGATAGCCCTCCAAGTATTGGAAGACTGCTATCAGTTCTCCTCCAAAACTTCTCTTCGGCTAGACAAGACTACTTCCCTTAGCTGTTCATCATGTGATTCAGCTTCCAGACCCCTTCTCATCTTTGTTGCTCTTCTCTGCACTCTTTCTGGGCGCCAGCATCTTTTCTGTATCATGATGATCAAAACTGGATGGAATATTCCAAGTGTGACCTCACTAGAGCGGTATAGAGCAGTACTATCACTCCTCATGATTTTTTAAGGGTTCTGTAATATCCCTCGGTGACCTTCTCGTCTCGTGGCTAAAAAAGCAGAGCTACTTCAGTTTCTCTTCCAAGAGTTTATTTTCTAGTTCCCTAATCATTCTTGTCCTCTGCATGATGTGTGCTCAAGTCAAGGTGCTCAAGTCGCCATTTTCCCTCCTTATCCCCCAATATGGACATGGCTACTAAGACATTCTTCCTTGAGAATGCTAGGCCAGAGAGTTTTTTCTTCCATGGTGTATCAATGATTGCATATTTTTGGGGTGGGTGCTCTAATGCAGACATGTCAAACACAAGGCCCGGGGGCCAGATGCAGCCCACAAAGTGGTTTCATGTGGCCCACGAAGCCATCCTGGAAACAGTGAGGGAATGGCCCCCTCTGCCTTGGCCCTGGCCCAGGCCGGACGGGAGCCAATGTACAATTTTGTGGTGGCCATCTATGCTGAAACGCATTCAGTCTTAGCTCCACAAGGCTGTCTAGAAACAGCGAGGAACCAGCCCCTGCTGTGTTGGTCCCGCCCCCTGTGTGCATGCTGGGGAGGTGTCACCCTTTGTGAAGAATGAAGAAATGGACCATGCCCTGGCACTTGCCCCGGTCCCACCCCCTTCTGCCAGGGACCCTCAGATCTGTCCCACTCCTGCCCAGGCCCCCACAGGCACCCTTGACGCGAACAATGTAGAGATGGCCATGCCTACCCAGTAGGCTACACCCATTCCATCCATGCCCACTCAGTAGGCCGCACCCACCCTGGCCACACACTCCCTCCCCCGAGGGCAACCGCAATGCTGATGCAGCCCTCAATGAAATTGAGTTTGACACCCCTGCTCTAACGTTTCAGTAACATTATAATTTGCTTTATAATTTGTTCAAGAACTTTAGTGCTGGGCAGTGTAGGCAAATAAAAAACACTGCAGTCTTTCTCCAAACAGTCTCCCTCCACTAGTCAGGACCCCCACCCAGAAGCGAGAAGTGGCTACAACTGAACGAGAAATGAGGTTGAGCAATCAAGTGAATAATGGTGAAATCACCAATCTCTCCATACACAGACAGACCCAGCAATGTCCTTAGAACTTTTTTCTCTTTTGGCAGTTTGATTTGCTGACTCAAAAAAATTAGCAACAGCTGCAGAGCTGTAACCCTCAATGGATCATTGATTCATCCATTGATCAAATTGTGCCTGCATCCCAGTCATGTGTCTCTTTCCCGGAACCTAGATTTCTGTCTTCTTCCCTTCCTGGAAGTTGACTTGATTTTTAGCAATTTCTCACATTCGTATGGTTGAGGACATATGCTTCCCACAAATCACTATCCACATCCTTCCACCCTCACCCATCTCTTCTGTTCTTCTCTGGCTTGCATCCATCAGAACATCTGGATGACTGAAGGAAATGCGGGTGGCTTCCAGATGTTAGCAAGCGTTCCTATGGCAACCACTGAAGGATGACAGGAGAAAGTAGGAAGAGAAGTTGCAGGAGGACTCATCTTTGCATCGCCCACTTTCCTTCCACATCTGGTGGCTGCCTAGTGGTTGCACAAGCATTTGTGAAGGGGGAGTCCCACTGACAAGGTGGTGTCTTCATGACTTTCCTAACGACTTTGGGATTATCTTGGTGGACATAGTGACACGGATCTTCAAATTGAACTTCTAGGGAACAGTTGTAATCTCATCACCTCCAACATAAGTATTACCTTTTTCTGAATCAGAACATGTGTCCCTTTAGTTCAGAGACTTTCAACAATATTGGCTCTCCCTGCATTCAGATAAGAAAGAGGGTTCTGCTGCAGAGCTATGGATTTTCTCCAGTTGGAAATCTTTTTTTTTTTCATGAATTGAGAAGGAAATGTTTGGATTCTGGCCATTTACCTGGTTTAAAATCCTACCTTCCATTAAGACTGGCATTCAAAAGTATGGGAATCTGTGAATCTTGTTGTTGTTAGTTGTGAAGTCGTGTCCGACCCATCGCGATCCCATGGACATAGTTCCTCCAGGCTTTCCTGTCCTCTACCATCTTCTGGAATCCATTGAAGCTCACGTCTACTGCTTCAGTGACTCCATCCAGCCACCTCATTCTCTGTCGTCCCATTCTTCTATTGCCCTCCATCTTTCCCAGCATTAGGCCCTTCTCCAGTGAGTCCTTCCTTCTCATTAGGTGGCCAAAGTACTTGAGTTTCAACTTCAGGATCGGGCCTTCTAAAGAGCAGTCAGGGTTGATCTCCTCTAGAACTGACCGGTTTGATCGCCTTGCAGTCCAGGGGACTCGCTGTGAATCTTATTCCCTTCATATTATTTTTCTAAGTTAGAAGTAGGGATTGTAGTCCAAAATCAGGTGCAAAATATACACAGGACATTTTGTGTGCTAGTCTCACATTTCCAGATAAGTCTGGAAGATTTCTAACCAAGGTTTGAGATAGCTGCTGCTGGCCGGCAAAGGAAGATAGAAGAGACCAAAAATTTGGATAGCGACAATAACAACCGCAATAAATCTTGGAACAGCTTACATTACCTTTAACTCTATCAACTTACAACACCTGGTCCTTGTGAGGGATTTGGTAGGTGGATAAAAAAATCCCAATCTAAACATCTGGCTGACTGTGCAACCAACCATCATAATAACATATCCCAGTTGGTTTTCCTGGTCTTCTCCAATATTTTATAATTTTGGAAGCCACCTGGAGGCATTGGCATCAGGCAATTT